GGGGGGGGCGGGAGAAAGCAGTCAGGCACACAGACAGAAAGACATACAAATAAACAGAAAATCATTTTGAGAGACTGAAATTGATAGCCAGAGAGCCAACATCCCCCTCCTCCCTTTTTTGTATTAATGAGAGACAAAAGTATAGCAGAGATATCGGACTCGTGGCAACAGATGTTGAAAGGCAAACAAGACAATGAGAAATAGGCAGAAAGTCAGCTAGAAAGGCCCCAATACATCCAACACACTTTTTTTTCGAACGATCCAGAAGACGGAATAGGAGATAATAAGAGACAAACATAAAAGGGCAGTTACAAAAGAATATCTCTGACTCAGGACATCAGATGTAACTATTTTATTGTTCCTAGATGCAAGACGATATGCATGTGTGTCATCGTGGTGAAGTCAGGAAATAGTTTTTAAAAATGGGTGCAATATTTGTCAAAAAACGGTTCAACACCTTTTGTGTCCAATTACAAACAAATTTTTGAGTGAAATTTACTGAAAAAAGGTTTAAAATAAAAAGAATGAAAATTTGCAGTTTCCAAGGACAATCAAGCTTTTAAAATCCTTAAATTTTGGCTGACATTTTCTCGCTAATTTGACCCCTGACACCAAACGACCCCCACCTCCTTCAATCGCAAATATCTCAACTTATATTCAAGGAAGATGAATATTATTTTCATCAAAAAACAAGGAAAATGAACAGGATTTAAGATGATACCATCAACACCAGAATACGCCCAGAAATTAAAACGAGCGCCTGATTCCACTGCGTCGTGGCACGCCATAATATTGCATCTCCCAGAACTACGGCGATGAAGAAACAGGTAGGCGGTGACTCACCTGGCGAGGAACACAATACCCTCCAGGCACGTAGCTATGACGCATGCAGTAGCGTATTACATGACCTATGTGTCATAGAGCAAAACTTACGCCGACATTTTTTATTGAAAATAACACTACTTGAAACAGGAACCGTAGAAGCAAATTTCTGTTAAGATAATTAATGAGCATAGTGAGGTAACGAAATACACTGAAGACTAAAAGAAGCTACATAAAAAAAAATTCTGATAATTCTCAAAGTCACTTACTTTTGATCTCACGATAATTATTGGCTGATATTGTATTAATATAAATTCCTCTGTGAAACAATAAGCAAAATAAACTCTCTCTCTCTCTCTCTCTCTCTCTCTCTCTCTCTCTCTCTCTCTCTCTCTCTCTCTCTCTC